TTTTTTAAATGGACCTTTTGGTGTGCATTTGTGAGGTCACCAGATTTACAGGGGAAAAGGAATAAAAAAAATTACTTGTTTTTCAATACAGTTGTGTGGGTTTGAAATTGATCATGATCTGCTGCTTACTGGCTTCAAAAAAATATCTGGCCCAGATAAATTCTTCGGTTTGAAAATCTGGCCCAACTAACTTCGTAGTTGAATAGCCATGCTTTAAGGCATCCAGCACTGTGCAACTGTGCAAGGCCTTTCTGTGTGATTTGCATGTTGTCCTTATCTCTGGGCACTCTGGCTTCCTCACAGTGCAGAGACATGTAGTTAGAGTGTCAGTGAATGAATAATGAATGAATAAAATGATTAATTTAGCAGATGTAGAAGATAATTTTTAAAAAGTTTGAATAGTATTTTTTAAAATGTGAAAAATGCTCTGTTATAAAAAGTGTTAATGACACACAGTCTGATAAACCTCCCACTTCCTCCCACTTCCTCCCACTCTCTGACTCAGCACCTCCTCTCTGTCCACATGTTTCTGTGTTCCCTCCCCTTCAGATCTAAACTTTGAAAATGGAGATGGGTGTAACCAGCATGTGGTGACGTGGAAGAGCTGACAGGCCCCATTAACTGCAGAAACATGCTGTTTACATCTCAGCTCAGACTAGTTTCAGTTATAAGGAAGTGAAACTCATACAGTCACTGATACTGAGAGGAGAAATGGCGCAGAAAGGAGTTCAGCTGGACCAAGAAACTTTCTCTTGTTCGATCTGTTTGGATCTACTGAAGGATCCGGTGACTATTCCCTGTGGACACAGCTACTGCATGAACTGTATTAATGGCTTTTGGGATGGAGAGGAGGAGAAGAAAATCTACAGCTGCCCTCAGTGCAGACAGACTTTCACACCGAGGCCTGTCCTGGTGAAAAACACCATGTTAGCTGTTTTAGTGGAGGAGCTGAAGAAGACTGGACTCCAAGACGCTCCTGCTGATCACTGCTATGCTGGACCTGAAGATGTGGCCTGTGATTTCTGCATTCAGATGAAGTTAAAAGCTGTGAAATCTTGTTTAGTCTGTCTGGCTTCTTACTGTGAGAAACACCTTCAGCCTCATTATGA